TTCTTAAAGAGACAGAGGCCAATTTCAAGGCATTTAGAAGAGGAAGTGATGAGAAGATAAGTTTATTTTCTATTTAAACATAAAAATAGCATTTTAATAACAACTGAAGGTAACAAAGATACTTTATTAAGGTATAGTATTTAAATGTATATGCCTGAGAAACACATAATATTGGCCCTTTAACCACCTGGTTTCAGTCAGACCATCATCTTTTCTGAGTTTGAGCAAAATCTGTTCTGAGCTGAGGGTTTCTTGTCGCTCCACGTCTTGTTCCCCTTCAAAAAATAAAAAGAATAATAACTCTGAATATCACCTTTCACTAACCTCACCCTTTTCTCAGTGTCTGTTTTGCTCCATTTTGACATAGTTTCCACTACAGTCTGCATAAATCAAATTCATATTCTTACCCTAATTAAATTTATTAAATGCAGTGGCCTTGGTGGGTTGTGATTGTCTGATGCTGCCATGCCTTCTTCTCTTTTCCTCCTGCAAAGGACGCAGACAGAAATAAGAATGTTACAATCACTACATAGCTAACTTTTTTATTTTTTATTTTAATTTTATTATATTGACTTTTTGTAATGTGACAAGTCAAAAGCGAGACAAATGTGTGCACACACTTTGGGCCTGTGGGACAGATGCACATAGCGCTCCTGTGGCTTTTGTGTTGGTCAAGACCTGGCGCAGTGCCAAGTTGATGTTTTTGTGTGCCATGTGCATCGCACACATGTGGCCTGTATTTGTGTGGGTCAGGTAGATGAGTTTGTGCCAATAAAATCCTATAGGTGCCCCTGATAGTAACGTCCAATGTTAATCGGGGACCGTATTGATCCTAAATATACTTGTTCAATACTTTAGGTTTAGCACGTTGCTTAATTCCAAAAAAATAAAATGCTGCACCAGAGCATCCAGTAAGAGGCAGGTTCAGATATGAACACTGAACTAAACAAACATGTCAGACAATTATGTAATTGGCTCTGACTGAACAACAACTTCAGAATCGACATGCTAAAAGTAGCATCCGTGCTAACTCTGTAAACAAACATTCAACTGATTGTGACGTCACATCATCTTTCTGYGCATGTGGGTCTCATCAGTGCAAGTGTAAAGTTCACACTGGAGTCTGATGAAGGCTGTATTAGAAATTTAATGTGAACATTCACGCCAAAAAAAWTTTAAATCAGAACTGAGCATTAAAGGGAAACCTATTACGGGGTCCTTGAACAAGTGACAATACATTTGTGAGCTATACACAACATCTCATATCTTGAGATTTCACCTTTTCAGTTCTGCCTGTTGTGAGTTATCTTCAGAACGAGCTGTTTATGCAAATAGGTTGCTGTTGGCAATGCCCTCCCAACCTTTTGTTTACATTAGCTTCGTCCGCCCAACACAGTGTTTATGTTAGCACTTCAGATACGTGAAAATGGCTACTAGTACAAGCAGATGTGCAATGGTACAACAGTAGTAGACGGGCTGCTAACAAAACATTTACATATTAGAAAAAAACTATTGGGAGTATTTTTTGATGCTTGGACTATTTTTGGAAGCAGTAAAAACCCAACTTGAACCATAAAACATGTAAAAAAAAAAAAGGGAATTTGCATAATGGGTCCCCCTTAAGACCTGCAGTGTGAACTTAACCTAAGAAGAAGCGACAGAGTGGTTTACATTGGAGGCCAAGACAGCGAGTGTTTTTTCTGATTGTATTAAGCTTGACTGATGTTTAGCAGAGTTTGAAGAATATGCTCATGTTCTCTGACTGTAATACTTCAAGACTGTCCTTCACACAGCAATAGTAAGAGGTCTGTTCCTTAAGTGCTAGTTTCAACTTGGCTAGATGATGCTGTTTGACAACCAAATGATGTGAATCCAAACGCAGACACATACTTGAGGAAATGTTCAAGGTTCAAATGCTGTTTATGAAAGATGATGATAGAACAGGAACACAAGTAYCAAGGTCTTTTCTAGGGAAAAACAGACAGTTGTTTAAAGCAGACTACAATCTGACAGGACTAAGTGACAAGAAGCAGGTTTTTGCAGAGGAGGTCACTGAGGGTGTCTTGTATCTTGATAGCAACACAAGAAAACTGCTTCTGCAATCAGATCAGATAAGATGCGGAAACAAGAAACAAGGTTGAAACAACGAGGTTGACCTAATAAAAAACTAATTCGGCTTCAGAGATGAACCAAGAAATTTAAAAAAAATCCATTAAAGTACACAATAACAAAATAAACACAAAGTTCTAGAACAGGGTTCCTGCAGTTTAAAGCAAGTAAAATTTAAGACTTTTTAAGACTTTTTAATGCCAAGTGAAATTCAATTTAAGACTAATTTCATAATAAACACAAATGACAAAAAAATAAAATAAAAACTGGCAGAAACTCATGAATCAAAGTATTTTTGGTTGAAGTTTTCAAATATTGCTCATAGACCAATTGTTTTTATCTATATCTAACTATAGCAGAAACATTTTAGAAGTCAGTTTTAAACTAAATTTAATTGCAGGAAATCCTCTAACAACCAAAAAATTTAGAGTTTTACGGGTCTTTGCTGTAGATGAAACCTTAAAGTGCCTGTGACATCAATTTTTTTGTAAGAAAAGTGAATGCATTTTTGCAAAAACAACATTAACATATTACAAAACAAATTTCACATTGCTCAGATGAACAACTGAGATATTTGCATGTGAAATAACAGGAAGTGATGTCAAAGGGGAATGCCTGCATGTGAATATTAAAAAATATATTTTACTCATTAGTTTAATATTTGAGATGAATTACAGTCATTCTATTTACAATGCGTTAAAATTTTTAAGACTTATGAAAGAGTGATTTAAGATATTTTAAGGCTAATTAAGGCCTTATTTTTGGACTGATGAACTCAACCTTTTAAGACTTTTAAAGGATCTGCAGGAACCCTGCTGAACTAAAATTTAAAGGTTACTTAATAAGTTCAGGCTTTATGAGGTTGTGCTTCCAAATAAGTGTTTGTTATTTAAAGCAGTAGCAGTTATAAAATCTTTTACATTATGTGTAATATATCAGTTAACATTAGTCAATTACTGTACAGGTCTACGAGACGAAGTAGTTTTGTTACAACCTTGAGTTGTTCCAATTTTCAGAAGAAAAATAAAAAAACTAAGCTAGCATTGAGTTTTTTGGTGCAAAGACATCAATGACTCATTAAAACAGATTGCTAGATCACTCTATTGTCCTACCAGTCTCACAGGTCAATTGTAAATTTAGGACACAGAACATTTAGCCCTTTGCTGACTGGCTGCACCTTCCCAACCCTTTCTTAAGACTGAATATAGATCCAGCTACACATTTTTTGTGTTAATTGTTCACAACACCTTTGCAAAGCATCATCCTCTGCATGTGATTGTCCTGTGTTCTGTAGTCCAGGTTAATGCRTGTAGAAATCTACAATCAAAACAAAAAATTAGTTAATAGCAGCATGCCACTAACATGATTCATGACTAGTAGTACATTGTGTTCTAAAAGAACTCTAAATTAAGAGGAACTAGAAGTGAAGACAAAGCAGTACTTCCCAAATGGCTCAACTCAGCAGTTTAAATTAGAACAGAACACTTCCTGTTTTCTGTATTTTGTCTAGTTCACTAAACATGCAGGACTGRTTACTGATTATAGTTGGCGTGTAATGTAAACACAAATCTAATTTTACTGTGAAGTGTGTCAAAAGCAGGTTTMAAATCTAAACTAATGCATTTCAGTATTGATCTAACTCGGTTCCCAACCTAGACAGCGCAGGCTTTAGCAACACAGATTGTCAGAATGTTTTTTGTACAAAATAACACAAGATAAAATCATTGTTCAAAGTATAATTGGAAGTTTAATTGCATTAGTAACCAATGTTGCTCACTGAGATGCTTTTGTACAAGTTGTTTTATGTTTATGTTTAGAATAAAAAGAAATATGCCTTCATATGAAACTTTGACAGATGCACTTTAAAATGAAATGACCAATTATTTGCACACATTCTGAAATGCCTGTTAGTAAGTGTTATCTATCTACAGAAGGAAGTCAGCAGATTGTGTTGAATTTCCACATCATCGCGACCTCCAACTCTGAACAAGCACATCGGCTTGACTACTGAAATGCTTTACATTTAGACCAACAACGAAAATGTTGCATTCTGACTCAAATTTTATCGTCAAACTAGAATACATAATTGGAGCTACTACAGAGTTTAAAAGATTTAAATTATTTTACACCTGGACCAATCAGTCTATATTGCTATCTTTTACTCTCTTTCCCCAGCCAGTTGAGGCAGACGACTGCCCCTCCTGAGCCTGGTTTTGCTGGAGTTTCTTCCTGTTAAAAGTGAGTTTTTCCTTTCCACTTGTCCTGTGTGCTGCTCAGGATGGGAGGTTGTGACAAAGTGGAGATTCAATCTGCTGACTTCCTTCCTAATATAACCATTACTCATTACCATTTTAGAACCAAGTGAATGCTTTTGCACAGTGCCCATAGACAACATTTGTTGTGGATGTGACGTACCTTTTGCGGGTCATGCTACGAGCGTTTTAGGAATTCCGTCTGTCTTCTTTTTACAGTGGGTTGGCTGTAGAGAATTTAAAAGCTAAGGAGAGGTGTTGGTGTTTGTGAGTCTTGCTCCCCTCCCTCGCTCTGGCTCCTGCCTGTAGACACCTGTTTTACTGTCTCTTTGTTGTTTGTTGTTGAGTCTGGGAGTTACCGGTTGTCTTTTTACCAGGTTTTTGGTTGTTGGATGAGTTCCTGGATCATAGGGAGGGGAGTGGTACCCGGATCTGACGGTCATTTGCTGGCTGGTTCTGGCCACTCCCTCACATTCTGTTTGTTTTAGAAAGGGCTCCCAGTTCTGCTTTTTAATCCAACTGGTGCTTGTTGAAATTAAACTTTGTTAAAACGCTACATGGTTTGGACTCTGTATGTTGTGTGTCTTTAACCAAACATTTAGACATTCAGACCATATCAGTGGATTGACGCTAAAGTGAAATTAATTGAACAATAACAATTTTCTAAGAATCCAGTGCATCTTTTCATCTTTTTATGCACCACTGAAAGGAAACAAGTTCCATTTTTTTATGTTTAAACATATTTATGAAAGAATGAGGGGTAATTCACTTACATTTCCATCATTGTGGACAAACTGTAGCCATTTACTGATCTTCAAATGATTACCCTGATTTTAGACTTTGAGTACAATTCCCACTTCATCAAAGTTGCTGTYTAACTGTTACAGATAACTACTTTAAAGTGCAAAATCAATAGTCATAGTGTGGTATGTAGTAAAACCAGCACGCTCACCTCTCCACCCAAACTTAATGAGTGGCGTCCCCAACAGTTACGCCTATATTAAGTATTTGATATGCCCCACTTCTCCACCCATCATGAGCTTGTATTTTGTTTTCTCTGCACACAATACTTCCTGTAAACTTCAAAGTTGACACCATCTCTTCCCACGTTCAGTAAACAGTACTAAGAGAGCAGTTTTTTGTTGTTAGCAACCTCTAATAAAACTGATGTCAACCGAGTTGATGTGTCGGGTGAAAGCGTCAAYATCCTTAGCTCAAATTTTGTCCCAGTTATCATCCATTATATAGGAACCAGTCACTCAGTGTAGTTTCCTTATATGAGTTTGGGCCTTTTTTCTCTACATATTTCATACTACACTGCACTTTTTTTCTTTCTTTGTCTACTTGGCAACACTCTGTGACACTTGAGATCCCGTGGCAGCTRTGCTTTTGTCTGTAAAAACTCATTATATTAGGAAAAAGGGAAGGAAAGATAAAGGAAAACGTCCAACAAAGTACACGTCTGGAATTAAATTGTTCCTTTCATTTAGTTCATCGTCTTCCTGGAGRTGTTTTTGGATGGTTTTCAGTGCTTCTGATGCAAGTATACCAATGAAAAGTAATGTGACAATGAATATGAGTTTTCCTAGGAGACAGCTTCAGGTGTTGAACATGCCAGGGGATTCTGATGTTATCAGTACATGAAATGGATGCTATCAGGCGTTATCAGTCCCATACAATGGCTTCACCGGCACAGCCGGGACATTCTGAAGCCATTCTAGGGGACTGATAACACCTAATAACATCCATTTCATGGATTATAACATCCAAAGCGGGTGTTGAACATGCCAAATCCATGGAGCTCTTTATGTGATGGTTCTAAAAAGAAGAGCTATATTACTGGTTTGGCAAAATGTTTGACAATATTACTGAATATTTGCTGCTGGCAGTGGGTCAGAACCATGTTCGTCTTTGTGTATTTAAGGAAGTTTGAATGACTTCTAGGAATTACATACTTTGTGGTAAAATAGTTCCAGGTTTTATTGGTGTAATAGGAGAATAAAAACAAATAAGAAAAATATTGTAATCAGCAGCTAAACACATTCTGGTATTTTATTTCTGGATCAATGCTCTGGCTGCTTCTCCTAATCATTTTGCTGTTCATGCATGCAATTGCCGGCTCACACGCACGTTCATGGGTGTGTCTTTTAAATTGTTAGGGAGACAAATCAAACCTGCTTTTACCTAATTTCACCCCAAAATCACCTTGAACAAAGTTCCAAACTGCAGTATGAAGCTACCTTATATTTTTGAAAATTAATTATATTTTTGAAATACAGAAAACATAAAATCAAATGTGAGACATTAATACATCACAAAAAGGTAGATTTTCTGTAAGAAACAATTGCCCATTTATATTCAGTTTATTAAAAAAAACAACTTTATTTGAACATCTGGGATTCTTTATGCACATAAGAATTGCCAGACTTTGCCAACCAACCTAGACCTCTGCCAGTACTTCATGCATAAACTCTAATAATAAACCAGAGAGGAACTCAAAAGTTACAAGAAACATGATACACTTAACCTACTGATTCAAGCTATTTGGAAGATGCCAAATAAGACTGTTTTTGTTTCTTGTTAAGGGGAAGGCAAACTGTGTATGTGTGTGTAGAGCYATACTAGGCCCTGCCAGAGACCTTCAAGTAGGTCTAATGTTGAATGACCTTTGGATTGTGTGGTTAAAATGTGCAGTATWTTAAATAGTCAGTTTTCATATCTGCAGAGAAGATACAAGCCTAGGAGGAGGGGATTTCCTTCATTTTAAAAGTAAACCTTCATAATTAGACCTATATGAGGAAGATGTTGCTCTTGCATGGATGCAAAGAGTTGTAAACAGATTTTAATTGGACACAGGTGTTCTATGGATAGACATTGTTTGAAAGGTTTGTTAAGAAAAGATGGAAAAATTGGTGTGTTCCAAATAGTGGACATCACTCGCTGGAAAACCAGACTGTAGCTGCTGCAATCTGTTTAGATCTTTATTCTGGTCATTCTTTTGGAAAAGCTTGAAAAAGAAGTTGGTTTTGTCTTCCTAATGATTCATACTGCCTATTGCTGAGCACAAGATAAATCTTTGGCTGATTTTATTAGGAAAGATTTAACTTGTACTTCAAATATCACAGGTAAACAAAGATTATCTCTCTTTTTTGGTATATATATCTCTCTTTTTTGGTATATACCATCATATACGTAGTTACCAACTATTTAGCAAATGTCAGCATGCTATCCAAAAATATGTACTGGTGCACAACGCTAAACATTAGCGATTGGGTAAATCAGATCCAACCGTTTTAAAATTCATCAGAGTCCACACCTCTAGCAAGCAATCATTTCTCATGTAGTGAATTACTCTATGAAATTTAGGACCAGCCTAATCTTCACAAAATAATCCCTCAAGATCTTGCAAAATGAAATCCCAGAAATAATGAAATACACCTCTGATCATGAATGAGAAAAATGAAAACTTGTGACCTGAACAGATTTCTCAAAATAAAGTAATTTATTTTATTTTTATGAACAGGATTAAACATACAAACATTTATTAAAGTATTATATGGATAAGTGACACAAGTTATATATTTTCGGCATAACAATTCCACTCAGAGTTGACAAAAACAGTAAATTTAAGGTGTTGTAATTTACTGGCACGCTAAATAACTAAACTTTAAGTAAATAAGAGAATAAAGATAAAGATTTAAGTTTTTAAGAATAGGAGGAAAAGAGATTAGAGTTTTAGCACTTGTTCTTTACAAGTGAAGACCAGACCAGCACCAAACAGCATGTCAGAGACCTGCACACCTCCTTGGCTAGGCTTCGGCATTTTATCTCAGCAAACATGGGTCTACCTTTGACGTCTTCCACAAAGCCGAACAGGCAGGCAGACGGTTCGCATGGACAGCCTCAGGAAGCCCGCAGTGTTGGATAGTGTCGCTCATGACAAAGGGGGTTTGAGAAGCCTTGTCTCACCCCAACGAGCCCGTGGCTCCAGGCGCTGGCCTCAGTCAGTCGCTTTGCTTGGCAATTAGTAACATCCAGACTTCAACAGGCAGGCAGGTGCCTGCACGGCACGCACTCAGAGAAACATAGACAGAACCATCCGCTCAGGCCAACAGACAAAGAACAACCGACCAGTGTTAACTGTGCTGAACAGAAAAATTAGTTTCTTGAGAGGAAAAGGTGAGAAAGAAAACAAAACTGTTTTCCCACCAGCTGCGGCCAGCTGCGAGTTGTTTATCAGTAAAGAAAAACCTTGAAGTCTGAGTAAAGCAGACTAAACTGGTGGACTTAAAAATCACTTCACCGAGGTTATAAGTCAGACCTTTGCATCAATGGATTAATAGTACAACTAATTAATCATTAAACCAATTAAAAAAAATGATAAAACATGATTAATAGCCCAGTACTAAGAAAAAACATTAAAACACATTTCAACTCTTTTTTTCTTCACAGTGTTAATCTTCTGGAATAAAGAGACATGCAAAGATTAATTCAATAAACTTTGAGTAATGATATATTGATCATAACCTCTAATAGAAGATTAAATGAGATAACATATATATAGGACTTATTGTCCTATTCACTTAAAGAAAATAAAAACACTTTAAAATGATTTTCTTCTTATAAGTGTAAAAAATAAAATCAAAGACAAAAATTAGAAATGAATATTTCACCAGGGTTACCCCTACACTCAATAACAGAGTCCAGACCCTTTGTACAAAGCAAAGAGAAGAACAGGGGGCTGGGTTTTACCCTGCAAGTCATAAAAAATACAAATTCCAGAAAAGCCCTACAATACTTTTGGGGTAGCATTGTAATGCAGTAAGAACCAATGAGAGCTAAACTGTTAGCAGCTACACACCACGTTCATGTACAGTAAACTGTTAAAAAGCAGAGAAATGAGCGTGAGCACAGGGCATGCGTTACATACTGTACTTTTATAACGTGTATTTTTTATCTTCATGGAAATGTGTTTATACTAATATTTATACAAAATTTGCTAATTTTATTCTAATAAATTCTGCTAGAAAACTCATGAAAAAGAACGAGGAAAACAAGTTATGTTCCTTACTGTACTCTTTTTCTGGTTTCCACAGTATCACAAGGATTACAGCAAAGTATGGGTAGTTAGAATGGGTAGTTTAAGAAAAAAATCTGCAAAAAACTGAGTCCAAAAACTGTAAAAGGCAATTTTGCCGGGGTACATTGCATATTAATACAATAAATTTTAGGGTGAGTTAGTTGTATTGTACC